CAGACTTCCCTCTCCACACCCATGTCCACCCCTAACTCCAAATTCCCTTCCTTCCTTTGCATCCATCTTGCCTCTGCCAGAAGCTTCCATGTATTGCTCACCCCCTGGGCCTCCAAAGCCTGACCCCAGACACGGGGAACTTTGGGCATTTGTGTGCATGTTTTGTACATGTGAAAGTCACAGGATGTGTGTTGCTTGGGCATCCGTGTGGCTTCCTCTGTGTGTGCATGGATGTGCAGTGAGTGCTAGGCTATGGTGTGTGTGCATGTCTGGGTTGCATATGGGTATGCACCGTTACCGTGGGCTCTCCTTACATTTGAGGGACCTCCAGCTTAATGCTGTGGTCCCCTGGAGGACCAGTCTCTTGGCTTCCTTCAAGCCCCCAGGCACCATCCCTTTTCCATGCAGGTCTTCCCCGAGGAGAGACAGGAAGAACTCCCTCCACACTCCCTTTCTTCCTGCCCAGTCCCACCCCCCAGGGGTTACCCCCCTCAGATGATCCCAATGTGCCCTTGGCTTCAGGCCTAAGAATTGGAAGCCTCAGAGAGGACTCTGAAGCCTCCTGAAGGCTCAGATGAGTCTTTCCAGGTGGCCTTGAAGTCTGGCTAAGGGGACTGAAGTGGAACTATCCCTGGGGAGTGAGCAGGGTGAGATGGATGGCCAGGAACAGGGTGACGGAGCCCTCAGGGAGTTGGTGGGGCTGGGGACAACTAAAAATATGGGGGTGTCATCCCTAAAAAATTGAGACTCGGCTATGGCAGCCACGAGTTCATTGGTCCAGGAGCATTTGCACAAAAAGTCTGAGCGAGGGATCAGCACTGGAGGTTTTACTGGTTTTGTCTAGTCATTTCTCTGGGGTGGAAGGGGATGACAGCTTAAAATGGATTTTCAGGAATAATGGATTCCCTTTCTTGGTTCCCGGCACCGAGCTGCAACACAAAAGAGAGAGTGTCACTGGGGTCCCAGGGAGAGGGTGACAAAGGAGGGGCAGGCCCAGGACCTGTCCAAGGGAGGAGGTCCTGGGGTCAGGGGCCTTCTGCTGCATGTGGCTGGGCAGCTGATGTTCTGGTCTGTGTCCCTCCATTACCAGAGGCAAGGACCACTACACAGCCTTGTCCCCTCACTGTCCCTCCACACAGTGTCCTTGCCCAGGGCTACAGACAGCACTCTCTGCAGGGCAGACACCAGCAGAGTAGTTCCACTTTCTAATGCCACATTGACCCTTCCCACTTTGAACCCAGGTCCCCACTCTAGACTGGGAGAGCTCACCCTCCATGGTCCCCAAGCCTCCTTTGGCCCTGGCCTTGGCACTTCACCTCAGTCCACTGAAACTTCGTTTCCAGCAGCCTTTATGAGGTCACTGAGGTTGAGGCCTCACTGAGCTGCAAGTGGCCCTGCTCAGCCCCCCATTCCGCTGTTCTTTACCCCTGCCCAGCTGGGCAAGCAATGAGGCCCCACAGTTGTGGCCCTTAGGGGAGTTGTACCCAGTCTACTCACTCTTCCTTGCATTCCTGCAGCGTGGCGGGGGTGTCCTGTGTGGGAAGGAACTTCACTTCCCCCTCAATGGTGGCTCTCTTGATCCCAGGTTTGAAGTCTAGGTAAGAAGGGAAGCTCTGTTTTTCCTGTTCTGGAACTTTTTCTGGCTCCTTGGCTTTGGGTGGATTCTGAGGCTGCACAGGCTCTGTACAAGGTTTCACAGGCTCTTTAGAAGGTGCCGCAGACTTCCAGGATGGAGCTTTGATCATTTGTTCTAAACTGGGCAACTCCATGTCGTTGGAGGCTACGGCCAAGGAAGATGCGAAATTGATCAGCTCTTCCAGGCCGATGGATGGCGGGAGGCTGGAGGTTGACAGACAAGGGCTTGATATTGGCTGGGAGGTTGTGACTTGGCGAAATGTCAGGGCCCTGGAGATCTGGAGCATATTCTCAGGGCACAGTGTGTTCTTGGGGTTGGACTCCTGCTTTGGGTGGCTGGGGGTCTTCTCTGTGTCTCTTTCTTTGGACTGCCTATTTATTGCCTGTTGCAGGCTGTGCTCTGATGCTTGGATGAGCTTATTTGCCCAGAAGAGGTGCTTGGAAGTCTGTACGCGGATGGAGCGATGCTCAGGGCATGTCAGTTCTTTCCCTGAGACACTCTGGAGGCTGGAGTTGGAGCCTATCGACCATCCCGAGAAGGTCCTTGGTATCTCCTCTGTGTAGGGATGGAGGGTCTCTATTGTGTAATATTGCTGCTTGGTGTGTTCGCAGCCAAACTCCAGAGAGCTCATCTCCCAATAAGGGTCATTGTGTGACTTAGCTTCAGGCCCCCTCTCTGGGATGTCTACATCTGAGTTGTCTTCCAGATCTGGGACTGAGTCCAGGTGCGAATCCACATTTGCTCTGGGCCGAGGCTCTTGCTCTAGCAATTCTTCCTCCATCTGAAAGATTTCAACTAAAATCTAAGGAGGCAAAGCTGGGTGTCCCTGCCTGCAAGGTCCTTCCTGGCACCAAAGACCTGCCTGGGGCAGGAGACAGTGTGGGTGGGTGATGGGGGTGGGGGTGTGTGAGCTGCCACACCAGTCTGGTACTAAGGTCCCAGAACTGTCAAGGATAAGGGTTGGTGGGGATTTAGGAAAGGTGGGCCTCAAAGACTCTGCCCCTTGCCTACCAACTCCTCATATGGGGGGACCTTGTCACTCTCACCTCTAGGTCTTCTTCCTCTTCTGCTAATCGGGGATGGGGCCGTGGGGAGTTGAAGTCATTCCTAAGACAAGAGAAGTCAGAGTGGGTGATAGGGATCCTCGAGATTGGCTCAGGGGAAAAGGGATCTCTGAGACTCTCAAGGTCTCTTGTCTTATACAGGGGCTGGTAAGATGACCTCACTAACTGACCCACTCCTCAGTGTCCCCGCTCCCACAAAGAGCATGATATTCTTAAGTTCCAGTGAGTTTAGAAAATTCCTAGGAGGTTTGCTAACTCATCTGTCATCCCCACAGTGGGATTGGGTGAGTTGGAGGAGACACAGGGAATCTTCATTTTTATGGAACATCACAGGTGAGCCCACATAGCTTGCTTTGAGAACCAAAGCTCAGAAAAAGGGCTTCCTACCGAGGGGAAAGCCCAGAGCAATGTCCACCCACCTGTCCATTCCCAGCTTTGCAGGTCTGGAGACCAGAGATGTGTGTGGATGGGAAGTTTCTCTCTGTTGCTCTTGACCCTTGCCCTCCGTGTTTGGCTATTGTTATCCCCGATTCTTCCTTAGGCACCTGCCCACCCCCTCCTGACAGCTCTGTCCTGCACAGGCAAGGCCTCTCTCAGTAGTCAGGCCCTATCCATATCCCCGCTGTGCCCCATCACCCCTCAGCCTTCCTCCAGTGTCAGGGACTGAAGGCAGAGAGAGAAGAGGAATGGCAGACACCCCCACCTCCAGACTTTTGGCCTGGATACTGATCTTGGGAAGACTTTAGAAATGGGCAAAAAGGAGGGAAATTCTAGGTGTGGTGGGGGAGCCACATGGATTCAGGGGGCAAGGGTAGGAGTGGGGAGACTGGTTCTCACGGTATCTCCACGATGTCCACTGCCCCCTTGCCACAGCAGGGAAATCCATTAGCACCTGGCAGGGAGAAGGAGATCAGGGTGGGGAGCTGCAGGGTGAGGGACAGTCCTTGAGGGATCCTGGAGTCAGGGCTAGTGGTGCTGTCCAGCTGCCTCCCCCTCCCCACTGCCTCACCTCAGCCTGCCTGCCATCCCCTCTTCCAGCTCATCCCTCTTCTCTGTCCCCTTGCCACATCACCAGTCCTGTCCTCCATATCAGCTTGCCTCCACTCGTCATCCTGGCCCCGCCTATCCCCCCTCCATCACCCCAGCCACAAGAGTCTTCCCTTCCGCTGATGGAGTGCTACCTCTGCCCCAGTGCTGTGATCTCACTGTGCCAAATATTAGAGGGGCTCATTTGCCCGTGGTTCCACAGCTGGACTTGAACAAAGTCTTAAGAAACTCTCTCTCCCTGCCCACATTGCTGTCCTCTACAGGAGCCTGTAACTGTAGGGGCCACCATGCCCCAGGTGGACCTTCCTCTTCTCCCTCTATTTCTGCTCCTCTGCTGCTTGTTGTCCTCCCCCAGCCCATCCATCCCCACCCAGGCCAGTACCCTAACTTCAGGAGTTGATCTGAGGCAATGCCAGCACCTCCCTCACTGGTGATTTGTGAGTTAGGATCACCCTCTGCAGAGGAGGCTGAGTGACTCCCATGACTGGTCCCCATACCAGGCCCCTCCCTGGAGATTGTATCTTCTAGTGCAGAAGCTGCTCTTTATCTTCCCCTGGGGTGATGACACCCGGTTGTCCCATTCTCTGCTCCCCAGGGTAGAGGATAAGAGTTCATGGCAGAGTGATTCGGGGGTGACGGGGGCAATCGTGCATCAGGCACAGTGGGTCCCCATGAACCTGGGCTGGGGCAGGAAGTGACAGTCCTGGTTCTGGCTAAGAAGAACATGAGAATGTGCTGCGGTCTCTTCTTGGAGATGTAGACTGGAGGGCAGTGGTCCTTGCAGGTCTGATCCAGGGGTTGGTTTGGGATCTCTGTGCTTCCGCCTGGGCCTGGAGATCTTGTAGTAACTGAGTGGTAAGGCTTTGAGGGTATCTCCATGGGCAGCACCCCAATGGCCAGTTCTACCTCCTTGTCCACAGCTCCCCTGGCTTCCTCCACAAGTCTGCTGCTCCATCTCCAGCTCCCCCTGGCCCAAGCCTGGCTCCTCTGCAGCCTCTGAGTGGACAGCCTCCCTTCACTTGCTTTACAGTTTCCCTGGGCAATTTGACCAACACCCATAGCCTCAACCCTTCCATAAGTAGCAACTAAGTATGGACAAGGGGGAAATGATTATGGAGTGTGGGGGCTGGAAAAAAGTCTGAGTTTGACTCCACTTGGGACCTCTGTGCCTGACTTAGGGATGTTCTATTGAGGATTCAAGTAACAGCCTATGGTCTATAAAATAATCCCAATTTCCAATTGTTGCCAGTGTACAGAAATACATTAAAACTGGGTACAGGCAGGAGTCTCCCAAGTTCGAGGACAGCTTCAGCAACTTAGCAAGGCCCTAAGTAACTTAAAAAGACCCTGTCTCAAAATAAAAAATAAGAAGGGCTGGTAATGTGGCTTAGTGGTGAAGTGATTCTGGATTCAATCCCTAGTACCCCACAAGGTATATTGGTGACCAATTTTCCTTTCTTATGATGAGTTTTGATATTAGATGTTAGAATGATATTTATACAGTCAAGGGCCATCAGGTGCGTACACACTATTGTGCAACCACTGGCACCATCCATCTCCAGAATATCTGTTTCTTTTTTTCTTATGATACTGAGAATTTAACCCAGGGGAGCTCTACTACTGAGCTACAATACCAGCTTTTCTTATTTTGAGACAGGGTCCTGCTAAGTTGCTGAGGCTGGCCTCAAACTTTCTATCCTCTTGCCTCAGCCTCACAAGTCCCTGGGATTATGACATGTGCCACTGTGCATGACTATTTCTTCTTGAGTGAGCTTCCAAAATTTTTGTCTTGTAAGGAATTGGCCCATTTTATCTAAGTTGTCAATTTCATTTGCATGAGTTATCCATTGAACATAGGTAGAATCTGTAATGGTATCATCCCTTTCATTTCAGATAACTTTGGTTCTCTTTCTTCTTGGCTGGGGATTTATTAATTTTGTGGATCCCAAAGGACCATCTTTTGGTTTCACTGGTTTCTTCTGTTTTCTGCTTTTCTTTCTTTCATTGATTGCCACTTAGCTCTTTATTCTTTTGCTTACTTTGGGCTTCATTTGCCCCAATCCCCTTTGTGAGACAAAAACTGACATACAGATTTGAGGACTTTCCTTTTTTTTTTTTTTTA